AAAATTTGAATACATCAATGAGTACCACCGAACCAATGACGTTTATCACAAAGTTGGAAAATGATTCCGACGTTCTGGTGTTTGTCATTACAGTTCCTGGAAAAGAGATAGAAATCATATTTCAAAAGCAATACAGCTACATGAAATAGGTGACTGAAATTTCAAGAAGATAAACGTATATTTCTGTTTTGATGAAACCACCTCATATCTTTTAATTTGGAAATAACACTTTTTTCTAAACATATTCGGTTGACAACAACATGATCATGCATATTTTTAGTTACAACTATTTTGAATTAATTTCTGATTGCACAACAATAATGGTAAGGTCACGCATACATTTAACCTGTAACTTCAACTAAAAGTTACTAGATAAACGATCATTACATTGATAGCTTGTAACTCGTTAATTTATCCGGATATGACTACAATATCTACCATGTTATTTGTGACTTGTTAAATTGTCATTTCAACCAGAAGTCACTAGATAACTACCATAACATTGATAACTTAAAAATGACACTTGAACCGGAAGTCACCAGATACACTGTCACGATGATGGAAAATGGTAGTGTATTTAAGAGCGTGCCCTACAAACCTATATTGAATTGTAATTACTGACTGTCTAGCTTAAAGGTGTATTGAGTCAGTGTTTTTTACGACAAGCCTCACAAACCTACATTATATTGTAAGCGTTGTCTGTCTAGCTCGCGAGAGGTTCTTCTGCTTCCGTCTCCTTCTCTTTCACTGGCTCTGCAGTTGCTACAGTGTTTTCAGGGACGATCTCTAAGGCATCGATCTGGCGTTTCTTCTTCCTTCTCGGGGTCATATCGTCGAACAGGAACTAAAATAGGATTTTTGATTGATTTATGAATCAAGAACTATGTTGATAAATACTGAAATATCGACTAAACTATGACAAAATGGCATTACGAAAATACATGAAATACAGATGAAATTGCTAGCGGAATCACAAAACTGCAAAATACATATCCCGAATGTGGTTTGAAGTGTTTTGGAACCATTTCATGGTTTTCTGCGTAAAAAACTCTAATGATAAGATATATGGTAACTAATTTTAACCCATCCCACAAGGATGGGTATGTGGTATATGTATACTCACCACCTTATCTGTCTTTTCACGCTTATCCAGTTCACGCCGTCGTCTCTTAGCGTCACATATTAGACAGAGGTTTCCATTGGTCTGTTTCTCCGAACGCCGGCACTCAACACAGTATATACCTACAATGGTTCATGGCATAAACTTATTTATATTATGTACCTACCATATGGTGTGTTTCTTTTAAGAACATCTCAATATATATATAAATAAATCATTGTTACAAAAGTGTCGGCTATTTGAGGTAGATGTCATTCCTTATCAGTATACAGCTTTGATGCCGACTAGTGTCATGCTTCTTAATGTTATAAGGTAAGATCTGACAAAACTTGCACTGAAATGACTTTTGATAAACAGATCTAGCCAATCATATTGGCGCAAACAACCAAACGAAAGATCAGTCAAATTGTTTACACACCACATCGTCGAGATAAAGGTAACACGTTAAAACTTAAAGTTCATATAAACTAATCAATAGTAGGAACCACAGACACATTAAAAGAAAACGATACATCATGGAATAACACGAAAACTATAAAGATTCTACTAAAACAAGAGATTTGAAGGGTAAGCATTCTCTTCTCCTCAATATGACACCCGTCATATTGTCATATGGTCACTCCAATAAGTCAGTCACCAATGTTCGAATTCTATAGGATACTGACCTGTATGTTGGATGCTGAGTCGCTCCTGGTACCTCTTCTTCTTCTCCTTTCTCTCCTCTTTCGTCCTCTGTCTATTGATTTCCAGCCACCCTTCGGGTTGACGCAGTACCTGAATATTCTTCGTCTTTTCTCGTTGCTCCTCTGCGTACACTTTGTAGACATCGTCATAATTTCTCTATAAATGACAAAGATAAAGGAGTGATACCGACAACGGGGATATATTTCGTTGACTGTTATCAAAATAATACTGC